ATTTGCTGTGAAGCACAGAAGAGACAAGAAAAAATAAGAGATGATGCTATTAACGCCGTAAGGGAGTACTGAGTTGAGCAAGGAGAAATCAAGGTTTCCGAAGTTAAGAATAAGTGCTAAATGCAAAATCCTTCCTGCCCACCAATTTAATTACGTTAAGGAGGTAGGCAATCTGGCTGAGGCTCAAGCCTATTTGGCTTTTCCAAGACTAGTAGCCGAATTAGATGCTAATCAAGACTTAGAAGTCGAGGAAAAAACCAAAAAAGAACATAAAGAACAATTAAAAGTTCAACCTACGAGAAAAAGATGCTTCAACTTACTTCTCCGCAAGAATTAGAAAACTTCTATCAGGAAGTAATCAATAATTCTTTTGGTTATAAAAATGAAGAGAAATACCTTGCTGACACAAAAAAGAGAATAAGAGGAAAATTAAAATAATTTGCTTTTTTTAACTTTATTACACTATTCAAATTAATTTCCGCTTTTTGGATTAGCCAACTCTAAACTTCTTTCTGCACACCTTTTTATCCTTCTTCAAGATGACAACATTTCTTGAGAGGTAGGATTAGTTCCTAACTTTTTTCACTTTCTACTAGGTGCTACTGGTTGGTCTCATCAGGGTATATGTAGTTTAGACCATCGTTTATAAATTCAGTTATTACGATTAGCCCTTTTAGTTCTTTTGTTAAAGTCAATTTCTTCTTCTCTATCCTTATCAAAATATTCTCAACAATGTTGAAAGCATTTAACTAAATCCTGTTGTTCTAATACTTTTGTTGCTTTATTAATAGAGGCTTCTAACTCTTCAAAAGTTCTTGGTTTCTTTTTCTTGGTATTTTGCCTTAAAAGTTTAAAACACAACTCTACTGGATTTAACTCAGGGGTGTAAGGAGGTAAATAAACTGGTTCTATATTCTTACTAACTAATAACTCCTTAATAGTTGTTAACCCTAACTTCTGACAAGATTTAGTGGCATGGTGAACTTTGAGATTATCTAGCAAGAGATAAAGTTTTTGGTTAGTTGGAAGATTAAGATTAGAAATGAATTCGTGAAAATCCTCTGTTTTCATCCCTCTTGGGATTAGTTTCCACTTAACTACCCCTTTCCCTTTTATATTTTGAATACATAAAATTAGTGTGTAATTATCACCTTTTTTACCTGGTTTGCGATGACTAGCCCGCTTGCCTTTTTCAGCATAGGAATATCTAGGAACTTCGTTTAAGTGGAAAGAGCATTCATCTATCGCTAAAACAGGGGATTTAGATAAAATTGGAATCTTTTCAACAAAATCCATAATTTTCTCAGGATGGTTTAATTGTTCAACATAATGATAATCAATTTTCTTATGAGTAACTTTTCTTTTTTTTAGATAACGAGAAATAGTGGGCTGACTGACCTTTTGACCTATATCTTGGAAAACTCTTTCTGCTACCTCTTGTTGAGTAGAGATAGTTCCTTTTTTAAGTTGGGAAATGTAATGTATTAAAATTTTCCTCAACACTGGGTCTTTAGTTTTTGGAGTTCTGCCTATCGCTTGGTGAGTTACATGTAGTTTTCTTCGCTTATCTCAATTTCTAATAGTTCGGTCAGTTACTCCAAAGGCAATGGCAGTTTGTTTTTGGGTTGGGTTTTTTAGTTTGTTTAGTTTCATATGTCTTTATATTTATGTAAGTATATTTAGATAATTATTTAGTTAGAGAATAAATGTGATTTCGCATTCGCATTCTTTTAGAAGGACTGGTGATGGTCTTTCAATATTCTTTTTTGTTTTCATAGTAGAGTTTCTTTAAACAAAGGTTGCAAATGTATTTGTTGTTGTTTTCTTCCTTTTCAGTTCAGTAACCTCAATTGTTTATCAGGGTTCAATCCTTACGAGGATAATTGTATTTAATTTCCATTTCATCCTTGCACTGAAAACAGTTAATTTTTAAATTTTCTTTTAATCGCGATTTTAGCATATATGTTATTATTTTATGGAAGTATGATTGTGAGAGTGTGATATAGATAAGTTGCAAATGAAATGCTATGAAATATAATATATAAGAATCAATTTTCCTAAAGATAAATATTACAAGTTACTTATTTTTAGAAAGTTGACTTTAAAGGTTGGACTTTGCTAGCGATTGCTAGGGATCTGTTTTGCTTTGGTCCCACCATCATCTTTTCAGGTATAATTTGTGATGATGTAGTCGGTTAAGAAACACCACTTCCTAACCTCCTATATTTCGCTTTCAGTGATATGCCTATGAATACACGTGTATAGGAGGCAGTCTGGTGAAAACTTCCCCCAAAATAAATAACCACTAGGTGGGCTATTTTTTAATATTTTTCTTTTTCATGACCCCTAAAAATATAAAATGTTCGGGTAAATAAAACTGCTAAAAATTAGAATTTTATGCTACTCAAATTAAATTTCCGTTTTTGGCTTTTTAACTGAATTACTTGGTAATTTAAAATTACTAAACAAAACGACCAATAAGGAATGGAAAAACTGCCAAGCGGGTAAAATAGAAAGGAAAAGGAACAAATATTAATTATTTAAAAATCTTGGTCGCCAAACTAGTCTAGTCTTTTTAAATTCCTTATCTCTTCCGAAAAATCTTCCCGCTTTCGTGGAGTTTCTAATATT